TTTCTGTTAGTTCTTATTTTTCCTCTTCTCCTTCGTTCATCTTATGTTTAAATTATAAAGGATAATTATCTGATTTCCACAGGAATGAAGAACGATGAATCTCATTGTTGTGGAGCAGTTCCAGATTAAACCCGTGAAGGATGAGGATTTTCAAGGTCCCGTCTTAACATGCGACACGTTGCATCATTGTTTTTTTCTTTATTATTATTTTTCTTCACCAGGTCTCGTTTCTAATTTCAAACCCTGCGTGAATGAGAAATAAAAAATATGCTGGAGATTGTTGTGTTGAACAGTTTGGTTCCGCTTAATGGCGACTCCTTGGATTTGGTCCCACGTCTCAGAAATGGAGATGATTGAGCTGCATGAAGGAGCTGGTTGTGAGCCGACCCACTTCACCGTGATAGGAGGTCACCGCTGTTGGAGTGTGGAATTGTGTCTAATTAAAATAAAACGTTTTATCAAGAGCTGAGGCAGAGGAACTGTCTCTCAGTTCCCCGTGTTTACGTTCTGATAAACATCTTATTAGAACGTTCCACTCTCCACCGACGCTACTTTGTTTTTCCAAGGACCGCTGCCAAGCCAGTCTTCGTCTCTTGTTCTTTTTCTGCTGTCGTTTTCTTGGTCTCGTTCCCCTGTTTCCTGTGTTGGTGGCCGTGGGGCAACAAACACCCACACAAAAAAAAGAACAACAAATTGGAAGTCTCTACCTATTTTGCTGGTAATTTTAGATTCTGCTTACTTTGCAGTAAGGCGGGAGTGTAAATTACTTTTTGCTCTGGGCACCGAGTACTTAATTGTTTTTCTATATCATCATTATTCATCTTCTCTGACAGCTTAATTGTGGCACTGATGTGTTGAAAGTTGGACCATCAGGAGTTCTTCGCTCTCTTCTCGCTTCGCCCTCATTTTCAGCTATTTTTTCCAAAGTGCCATGTTTCCGTATTGACTGAATCACGGTCTGTGATTTGTTTCGCCACAAGTCTGATTTGTGAGATTACAGCGCGGGGCTGCGGCTCATCCGGTGCCTGGAAGCATTCTTAAAAAAAACAGAAAAAAAAACTATTTAATACAGCACTCTGCAAACACGTTTGAGCCGCGTGTCTCCAGTGATTACATCTCTGTGCAAAATAATTGCTGTTTTAATTTAGTTTTTTTTTCTTCTTCTTGATGAATTCAGACAAGCTCGAGTGACAGCTCCAGTGAGAGATGTAGAACGAGGCCACATATTGGCCACCGTGTGCATAACTGAGGTCCAGAGCAGATGATATCTGATGGAGATGACATTGAAACTGCAGCACTGTCCTTTTCATTCTCTCATTCCTACGACATGTTCCATGTGTCTGTAGACACCGAACTCTCACGATAGTCTTAATACATGTAAATAAAAAAATTGACATTTTGAATTTTAAAATGCTGAAGACCTGGAAACTGTTGAAGGCGAATGAGAGACGAAGAAAGAGAGTCTGTTGACCATGTGGCTGTGACCGTACGATAACTGGAGAATAAAATTTGGCTTCTGTCGTCGGAGGGTACACCACCTTTAGATTGGCAGAGTGAAGAACTTAGACACACAGGTAGATGGATGGATGATGGATAGATAGCTAGGGAGTAGAGGAGGCTCGATCCGATACTTAGGATTGGTATCACCCAACTACAGCCTGTCTAATCCGATAACAAACCCAAATGGTCAACCTAACGTTGCATGACATGTCGTAAACATGGACACTATCGCCTCAGCAACAGCAACCTGAAGTATTCTGGAGGAGATATCGGATTGGTATCAGTACCAGTCGCAGTATCGACATCAGTATCGGACATGAAAAATTTGTATCGAGCCATCCCTGGAGGTAGGTAGGTAGCTTAGTTGGACTGCAATATGAGAGTTTTTTTCCCAAACAAAGGACAAATGTCCAACAGACTTTTGCCAAATATAATTAACTCCAATAATTTGATTGGACAGTTTAAACATGTATAATGGACAAGTAAGCCTTCCATTCAGCCCTGGGCTGGTATATGTTTGTGTCTACCGTCAGTCTGATGCCTTCATGAGTCAGATGAAAGAGGGGATGGAGTTTCAGTGGAGTCGACAGGTTGCAGACGTTCCCTCGTGATATCTTCGAATATGGCTGAAGGGAGAGAGAATTAGGAGGCCCCTTTGAAACCTTCCAACATAGTATGAAATCATTCCGTGCGAGCACTTTGATCAGCTAACGGTCAAGTGGCAGCCTTGCGCTCAACTATCTCAGCACATTACCAGTGGGAGCCTCCTCCCAAGCGCAGTGCACCCCCCTACCCCCCACCCACCACCTGACCAGTGTTTGATTTGCTCGCTGAACTGATCTTCCAGCAAATAAGCCGTGCGCTTTGCCACAAATTACCCCGTATCTATCTTCTGTCACAAATGCCTTGCAGCTTCACTGCCAACCCCTTCACACACAATCTGCCGCCCCGCACGCTCCGAGATAAACAGTGGGTGCTGCACATCACACAATCATAATTCCAGCAATTAACCTCTTCACCTACTGTGGGCTTTAAAATCCCTCGGCTTTCTCCTTTCATCTCTAACCAGGCCTTTTCTCCGACTACTGGACTTGATTCCAAATGTAGAAATAAATGCAAAGTGACCGGTGGCGCACCAACCTGACAACGCCCTAATGACCATTGACGTGGGCTTTGATTTCAGATACACTCTGGACCCTAAATCCCAGAACCGCTGGAGAAGTAGGGCCATCTTGACACAGTTTCTTTTCTCAAGGGGGTCAAGGATTTCAGCACATTATGTGCTGGTTTTGTGCTTTATTTTATTTCCTTACACAAGGTATATCGATAAAGAATTAAACCTGCAGTATTAGCTATATCGATATCGACTGCTAAACTCTCATAGATTCCTGTTTCTAGTTTCTTTTCCTAGTTACCAGATTGTCATTCAGTGCGAGTTTTTTAAAAAAAAAAAATCAAATGACACTGCAAGGTTCCCTAGTTACCAGATTGTCATTCAGTGTGAGTTTTTCAAAAAAATCAAATGACACTGCAAGGTTCAAGAAGAGAAAAAGGTTTATTCAGAGGGAATTTAAAGTCAGATGCGAAATCCGGATACATTTCAGTTACGATTGAAATTCAACTCAGCAAAGTGTTTTTTTAAAAATGTTACATTAGAGCATACATTATACAGTGTTTGTTAAAAAATGTTACATTAGAGCATACATTATAAAGGCCTATACAATGCTGATGTGGCCCTTGGTGTAAAGTAGTCGACCACCCTGATAACAGCGCACCCCTGGGGTACACCCCCTGGTACCTATATTGAAGATGTAATCAGTATTACTTACTCAAGTAATTATAGGAAACACAAATATTTTCCAGTTGAATCTCATTTCTTCTGTGCACTGGGTTAAAAAACTTGACTAATGATGTCACACCGTGTCCACGGTTCGCTCTACCGTAGAGGATGATGCATTATTTCTCCCAGCCCGGCTTCTTCCAGACAGCTCTCTGCGATATGGTCTTCCAATGAATTGAGTTATGTTCCAATCAAACAAATCACAGCTTGTTCAAAACCGCTCGGATCCAAACAGGGCACTGAGTAATGGATTGAAAAAGTCTGTATTTGATTACCTCTGCCTCCCAGGGTTGACTAAGATCTATCTGAGAGCTAGTGCAGTGGAATACCAATATGGACGCCCTCCAGCTATTGACCCCATATTTAAGTGGACGCTGTGCTTTTAGTGTACTTCTACTGGACGCTCCAAATCTCCTTCCTCCTGGCAGTTTGGCTGTTCTTTTTTTGCTGTGCATTACCTATTATCCCCAGAACGTGTATGAAGCCTGCTTTTAGCCATAACTCAATAAGACCACTCATGCAAGAGGGTAAGAGAGTGGAGTCAGTGCGACGCGGTAACATCTACCGCCATTCTGTCGTTAGAGCGAGGCAGGAAATATTTGACATTGGTAATGGTCTCCAAGAGTAAAGAAAAATGCAAAGGAAGCTGAATTGGACAGGATAAGGAGATCATCGAATGAAAGATTTATTGTTGGTGAATAATAATGGACAAACAATGACAGGCACATGCACTTTCCATACAGTATAAATAAAGAGAATTCAACGAACGCCCATGGTGTGACATCAATCTTCATAGACTTGAGAGTAAATGACGAAAGAGCAGTGTTCGGAGGAAACACCTCACGTGTAGCATTAGCATTTGTTTGCTATGAATATATTGTCTCCTGCAACATGACGCTAACGTTCGAGGAATAATGTCATTGATTATATTAAGGAGTATTATATTACAAAGGCAAAACAGGATATTATTTCTTGGTATAGATACATTCACACATACAATGGTAATGGTCATAAAGTTCTAAGACTGTATAGACATTATTTTTATGACAATAACAAAAGTATTTTTCTACATATCGTCATAGTTTAGTTGAAACATCACTGCAGTGCTTTTGTTTTTCCATCAGTGAGTTTCTTCTTCACAGAATACTTTGGGATGTCAATGGCACCAGATCACAATCTGCTTCTTTGCCTCTTCCTTGGACTGAAATCCATTTGCTTTCTTTTTAGTTTTGAAAAGAAAAACAAAACAAAAATAATTAGTATTGAGTGACTTTCTGTTGTTCTGGTGCTGCTGTAATGGGTGAATTTCCCTTAAGGGATGATTTCTTCTTCTACTCCCGGTTCTACTTCATATTCTTCCATTTCTTTTAAACTACCACGGAAAATAAATGAGGGGTTTAAAGTTCCTCATTTTGACAGATAGTGATACAATTCTGGTTTGTAATTTATATGAAAATACTGGAAAATATCCTGAAGACTAAATATGTAAATAGAAAGTGTTTTTTTGGTTGTTTTTAGCTAAAGTATGACAAAAGTTCCACAGAAAATAGAGAGAAAAGCAGACGGATCTAATAGGAAGCAGTTATGAGATTCGCCTATAGATGGCAGTGTTCTAACAGAAACAGATCTGTACTTGGGCAAACCGGACGAGTTCAAAGGTCTGCTGGACTGACAGAAACTATGTACTGTATATTATTGCAATACTTTTGTCCGACAACGAAGTCGTCGTTTTTCATAGTTTGGTTCTAAAAACATGAAACCTTTTTTTCAAGACTATTTATTTAGGTGAGTTAAATCAGAAGATACTTCTTAAAATCATTCTCCTTGGACTGTTCTCCAAAATGTAATATTTCAGCCCCTTTGCTTGTCTTCTCTCTGCTATAATTAGCATAGCTTAGCAAGTCGTCATTAAGTAAATACTTTTGGATATTAATAAAAAAAAAGAAAAAGGAACGCGAAGCAACCTGATATTTTGTCCGAGGTGAAACGAGGCTACAGTAAAATGATTCTGTTGGCTCTAGAGGAAGATTTCGACTCGCGTTCCTTTTTTTATTTGTTTATTGATTAAAAAAAACGATAGTGACGTATTTGTTCTCAGTTTTCCTCCGAGCAGTAACGGTTAACACCGTAATATGCCGGAGTGTGAGGGGGCTGGGTTTAAATGCGCAGTGTGCCGGCAGGCACACATACACACACGCACACCTACTGTACGTTGATGGTGCCGCTCATCTGTGGCAGTCTGTGACAGAGCGCGGAGACAGACCGGGATAGAGCGGAGCTGAACACACACCATTCCGGCCAGTCTACCATGACAACTCCGACCACAGCCTGGACCAGACCGGTGAGCAGAACAGAGGACCGAACCGAAGGAATGTGTGTGTCCACTGACACGCTGTAGTAAAGTCATATCGAGAGGTCATTGGAGACGCCGCCGCCGCTGCCGCTGCTGCTGCCAAGTTTACACACAGAATTGGCCGTCAGTCGCGCACACGGAGGTTCTGACATGAATGAATAAATGAATGAAGTGAGGAAGGACGCCGGCTGTTGGAGACGCACAGACATTTTTTTCTTCTTACAGGATTGGAAGAAACGGTGAAGGCAACATTGTCGAACCGTCCCCGCACAGGGAGACACACAGTTCCGACCTAGCGTTTGTGGAACATTTTTGGTTTTTTGGATGCGAGTCCAGCGCATCAGTTCAGACCCAGAAGCCGTCAGACAAGCCGGAGGGATTAAATACCCAGGAGACTCACTTTACACAAATAGGTGAGTGAAGCGTTTCTTTTTCTCATTTACTTTTGGCGCTGTGAAAATGTCTCTTTGGACTCCACATGAATGTCACATGGGCTGCAGAGCAGACAGCAGCCACTGTCTTCACAGGAGGACTGATGTCTGCGGGGAGAACCAAGTGAAGAAAGACAGTTTTATTCTCGGCTGCAGACCCCGGTCAGGTCTCAGGTCTCTGCCTGCTTCAGTAGTCAATTACAGTTTAGCCTAACACTTAAATGCATCATAGCTGTTATATTATTGTATTATGTTATATTTTTGAATATTAAGTATATTTTAAAATCCGCTATGCTTCACGTTGTACTCTTGGGGCTCCATCTGCCTGTAGTAATGATTTGGTCTTATTTTAACCTTTTTTTTTTAAATCATTGAGTTCAAATTTCTTCTTCTTGCCTTTCTTGAGTAATGGCGTCTATAACCAACAGTCTCCCCTCAAGGATCAATCAAGTATTTCCTATTCTGATTCTCATAATTATATACAGTTTTACAGTGAATGCACCAATGATAGCATGTCCTTATCATGACTGACTTCCTGATCTTCATCCTCTCTGTCATCAAATTTCAGTTTCTTGTTGTTTATCATCATAATATTTCTTAATTGCCTGCTCTGCAAAAATGACACGGGTTTAGTCCAGTGTCACATTCAACTGTATTTAAGGAAGTCACTTGAATTGTTGAGTTTCTGTCAACAAAAGGCACGTCTGTTGTGTTGATGACCTTGACATTCAGCTGAAAATGCGGAGGAATGTTTCCCTAGAACTAGTTGATGAAAGTGTCATAGCTGTGATGTGGAGGCAGCTACTGTAGGAGGCTAATGACTTGTACCTGTGTGTCAGTGCAACAGGTGAACCTCAGTCGGGTAATTAGAATCTAATTCCTGGCTCTGCGGTGCTAGTAAATATGACACTGCGACCTGAAACACAATAGTTTTTTTTTAATTGTGATTTTCTGTCTTGGTAAAGAAATAGTCTGAAAAGAAAGGACCATATTGTTGTCTACATGCTTCAATTTAGGATCAGGGGACTCCAGGTCTCATCTGTCCACTGTAGCAGATGCACACACAAATCTTTACCCGCTGTCAGACACCATTCTGGCAAACAGCACTGACAATGGCTGTAAAGAAAACAAATGTCCGTCCTAAGTGCAGAATCGCTTTACATTTGCATGAAAATAACTTACATCTGCCACAGTGGATGGGCATCATATTTATTCTCTCGTTTGTGCAATCAAAACGTGCTGCTTTTTGTTGAAGTCACTTTTTTTATTTTGGCATCTCTAACCCGACCTCCTCACATCATCAATTTAATATCGTTCCCAGAGTGAAATGGGAGTTTGACCCTGAAGCGCGGACAGAGGTTTCTATTCAGCAGTGGTTTGATTATCACATCATTATCTCAAGATTAAGAAGAAGGACACTGTCCGTGTGCTGGACGATCACGTCCTCTGTTTACACAGTAACCTGTTTAATACACAGCTATTTGTTCTGCTTAAATGTATGACCCTTTGTTAACCTCCTCCAAACCATTTTTTCACCGCTTCCTTAAAGACAAGACCAAACAAGAGAAATGTTTTTTATTAATTTTCCTCACAGCCTTTAGCTTTAAGCCAAATTATTATTCCTAATTATAGCTTAAAGTGAGACACTTTTAGTCAATATAATATTTCCTGAGCATTTCTACTGAAATAATCACTTTGAACTACTGGCTTTGAAGAGAAGAAACACCAACATCAGTGGGTCAGAACCACTAAACCAGAATGCG